GGCCGCCGACGTGCTGCGATGAAGCGTGCGGCCTGCGCGTCAAAGCGTGCGGCGTCAAAGCGTGCAGCGTCGTTGAGGCGTGCGGCGTCGTTGAGGCCTGCTGCGTCGTTGAGGCGTGCGGCGGCGTCAAAGCGTGCGGCGTCAAAGCGTGCGCCGTCAAAGCGTGCGGCGTCAAAGCGTGCAGCGTCAAAGCGTGCGGTGTGGAGGAGGAGTTGAAGCGTGCGGCGTCAAAGCGTGCGGTGTGGAGGAGGAGTCAAAGCGTGCGGCGTCAAAGCGTGCGGCGTGGAGGAGGAGTCAAAGCGTGCGGCGTCAAAGCGTGCGGCGTTAAAGCGTGCGGCGTCAAAGCGTGCGCCGTCAAAGCGTGCGCCGTCAAAGCGTGCGCCGTCAAAGCGTGCGCCGTCAAAGCGTGCGCCGTCAAAGCGTGCGCCGTCAAAGCGTGCGCCGTCAAAGCGTGCGGCGTGGAGGAGGAGTCGAAGCGTGAAGGAGGAGTCGAAGCGTGCGGTGTCAAAGCGTGCGGCGTGGAGGAGGAGTCGAAGCGTGGACGAGGAGTCGAAGCGTGGACGAGGAGTCGAAGCGTGGAGGAGGAGTCGAAGCGTGGAGGAGGAGTCGAAGCGTGGAGGAGGAGTCGAAGCATGCGGCCACCGACGTGGCGTTGAAGTGTGGCGTTGAAGTGTGGCGTTGAAGTGTGGCGTAAGGCCAAAGCACTGGGCAAACAAACAGCACAGAGGGGCTCGGCCGCGCTCCGATCAATCAGAGCAGCTCATCAGACACGGACAGCTGGGAGGCAATGCAGTGGGCAAAACTTACAGTCCACGGTCAATTAGACAGAGCGAAGGCCAATGCAGACGACAAATGTTATAGTCCATGGTTACAACTGACAGCCTGAAGGTCAATGCAGTGGGTAAAATTTTCAGTCCATAGTAAAACGGACAGCCTGGAGGTCACTGCAGTGTGTAGAATCTTCAGCCCATGAGTAAAACGGACAGCCAGAAGGCCAACACAGTGGTTAAAATGTGCGGTCCATGGTGAAAACGGACGGTCTAAATGCCAATGCAGATGGTAAAACAAACAGCCTGAAGAGCAATGCATCGGGTAAAAACACAGCCTGCGAGCCAATTCGACGGGATTAATTGACACGCCGCAGTTCAGTACAGTTCATGGTAGTGCGGAAAACAGCGAAACCGACACTGTACCGTGAGTGGAGGCAGGGAGAAGGGTGGGCAGCGGCAGGCAGACAACGGCAGGCAGACAGAAGTCCCGTTCCCGGTGTGGAAGCGGCAGGGTGCGCGGAGTAACGCCTGGCCGCGAGCAGCAGCGGCCACGGGGAGACGAGCGGCAGCGAGTCCGCAGGAGAGGACCCGCGGTGAGCCGCGGTGGAGACACAGCGACCATGGCGCACAGCCCCCAACATGCGATGTGGAAGAGGAGCCGCGACCATGCAGGACGAACAATGTGCGAAGCGTGAGTAAACAAAGTGACGAAGAGCAACCCATTGCAGCTTGAAGTCTGTTTGGTGAGCTGTGCTCTGCTGTTCTCTTAAACACTGGCTTGATTGACACGTCTGCGGGGAGTTGATTAAGACAGGCTGAGTAAGGCGTGGTCAAGCCTGGTGTGATAACGTAGGTAGTCTACCATCCTGAACCTCCGCTTCAGCTGCATGTCTGGACTTTGACTTGGCCATTCTAACACCTGGATACGTCTATTTGTGAACCATTCCATTGTAGATTTGGGTTTATGTTTTGGATCATTGTCCTGTTGGAAGATAAATCTCCGTCCCAGTCTCAGATCTTTTGCAGACTCCAACAGGTTTTGTTCCAGAATGGTCCTGTATTTGGCTCCATCCATCTTCCAATCAATTTTAGCCATCATTCCTGTCCCTGCTGAAGAAAAGCAGTACCCAAAGCATGATGCTGCCACCACCATGTTTGACAGTGGGGATGGTGTGCTCAGGGTGATGAGCTGTGTTGCTTTTACGCCAAACATATCGTTTTGCATTGTGGCCAAAAAGTTTGATTTTGGTTTCATCTGACCAGAGCACCTTCTTCCACATGTTTGGTGTGTCTCCCAAGTGGCTTGTGGCAAACTTTAAACAAGACTTTTTATGGATATCTTTGAGAAATGGCTTTCTTCTTGCCACTCTTCCATAAAGGCCAGATTTGTGCAGTGCACGACTGATTGTTGTCCTATGGAAAGACTCTCCCACCTCAGCTGTAGTTACCTGATTTTTAGATCACAAAAACCCATCTGACTGCATTATCTTACGGTCAAAACACATAAATGCATCAGTGGCAAAGGTTCAGACAGTAAGAATACTGTCTTTTTCGGGTTATAAATTGGTCTGGAGTATAAAACACCCGAGACAAAAAGGCATAATAAAGAAGGAAAAAACACATAAAAGTCGCACTAGAGTATAAGTCACTTTTTTGGGGAAAGGTATATGATAAAATCCGACAATGAAAGAGATAAACAACGTTTAATCTTGTGCCCATATTATGTTTTATATCTTTTTTGTGTAATGTCCGGTATTGCTAACACTTGTGTATAAATGTAGATGAGAACATTTGTTTAAAAATAATATCCAGCTTCTGGGTTTTGATGACCAAAGTATATTTACTAATACAAACAGAAACCCGGTGGGTGGTCAAATGATACACATATTGCTCTTTTTAATAGCTTAATTGTTCAATAGCCCAGGCTATTATTTGATATTTTACGGTAAATAAGATATAGAATTTAACAATTTCACAAATAAGTCGCATCCCAGGCAAAACTATGACAAAAACTGCGACATATAATCCGAAAAATACAGTAGACTGAAAGAATACCTCCTATGGTCATCCTACCTGTTCTTGTCAATATTATAGGGATGCACAGTAATGTTAATTTCAACTGTACAATAACAGTATTTATTTTTATACTACTTTTAAAGCCTGGGCCTTAGCTTCTAATTGATTTGCCGGTTATACAGAAATTGTAAGGGTGAATTTATGATAAATTATTCCACAAGTTTACATCCACAGGAAATGTCCACATTCTACAGAACACCATGTATAACCAAAACAAAGTAAGTCCAAAAGCTGTAGGCAAATATACCCAGGCTTATTCCACTCCTTGAGGCTGGAGGTCCCAACTGGATATTTACAGTGCATTGCAAAAAGTATTCACCCCCTCGTGTTTTTACCTATTTTGTCGCATTACAGGCTTTAGTTCAATGTTTTTTTTGTATCTGAATTTCATGTGATGGATCACAAAACAATAGTCTAAGTTGGTGAAGTGAATTAAGAAAAATATATACATAAAACTATTTTTCAGAAATAAAAAAAATGGAAATTGGCATGTGCATATGTACTCACCCCCTTTGTTATGAAGCCCATAAAAAGCTCTGGTGCAACCAATTACCTTCAGAACACACAAAAATAGTGAAAGGTCCTATATCACGTTTTTCTTCATGTTTCACACTCAATCCTCTGCACATGTGTTATAATAATGTGTGTGATACACCACAAAACAATCAAAGCTTGTGAGATTAGAGCCATCTCTTGTATAGAGGTGACGTCACCTCGACTCAAACGAGCTGATCCAGAGAAGAGTTTGCTCCTCTGTCTGTGAGCCCGCCTCCCCCCGCCCGCACGGTGACGTAGCATCACGCTCTTGTCGTTTATCACTGGTACATAGTCATTTCATACATAAGAATATACTTTTTCCAACAATGACAATCCGTCACATCGAGCCCTATGTCCTCGATGCACAATCAGACCCTAGTTATTTAGTTTACAGAAGTATACAGCGAGTTAGCGTCACTACTTACAGATCGAAAGGGTCCGAGTTACGTTTTTTACCGTGGGAATAATGTGTTTCCAGATCAGCTTTTGAGTAAGTCCAGTTCCATTGTCCCTGTAGTTCTGGAACAGTCTCAGTGAAGTGTCGCAGATGAACCGGTATTATAATAGATCCATGAGATGAACAGATGAAAAAAGTCGAGCCGCTTTCTTCCTCTTAGGGCCAAATAGTGTGTCACATATTTACACCCATAACACACTTCATTCAAGTTGACGTGATCCTAACACTTTTAGTTGCTGACAAAAGCATAAAAACAGCAGCTCTATGTGGTGTCCGCGAGACCAGACCACAGACGCTGGACTCGGGAGCCGGAGCCTGTGCGCTCTGATTCGCTGTTTTGATCCGTCAATCACCTCCCGCCGGCTTTTAATTTATTTTTATTTGTATTATTTTTGAAAACAAACAGCATACTAATTGTGTATTGTTTACCCCGTTTTGACGAAAGTATTTAAAAACTATTTTAAATAGAAAGCAAACGGGGTCATGCGCGTCATCAGTGTGGTTTTCGTCACTGAAGTGGACCCGAGCGTTTCTGTGCCTCACGCTGGGGAAGGAGACAGATTGCTCTCTTACTAAAGATTGACAGAATCAATGAATAAACTACTCTGGGCATGTGTATGAAGGCCAAATAGCACTGTAATCATGTTTAAAGCAGAGAAAAGTCAAAAACCGTGATATGGGTTTTTCGGGGGCGTGGCCAAGATGCGCACGGGGTAGTCTCACCTCTGCCAAAAACTCCGGTGAAATCAACACTTTTCTCTTAATTCTACCTTTGCAAACCTGAGATATTCAACACGGCCTTACCAAGCACGATTGAAGCAACGGGCGTGAAGTAAAATCCACAGGGAAACGACGCTGACAGTTAAATCGCCAAAATGCCAAAACCTACGAGACAAACAAAGCAATCAGAAGCAGGTGCTTCTCAAGAGACTGAGTCAGCAGCTGAAGCAAACTCATCCATCTCGCTAGAAAAAATGATGGATGTCATTCTTGACTCAATGAACAAGCGTTTTGATTTGCTTGACGAGAAGTTTGAAACCCTGACCGCGAACCAGTTGGTTCTGACAAGGAGAGTGGATGAGGCGGAGGCACAAGGCACAGACCAAGAGAGGCGCATTCAAGCGCTTGAACAATCCCTGGCTGAAGTACGCCAAACAAATATGAAGCTGCACTCTAAATTAGACGACTTGGAAGGACGTTCAAGATGCAACAACATTAAGATCGTGGGAATACCAGAAGGAGAAGAAAAGGGGAGACCCACAGAATTTGTCACAAGTCTGATTCCAAAGCTACTCGAACAAGGGAATCTCGCAAAGCAGGTGATAGTGGACCGCGCGCACCGGGTACCGATGCCAAGAGCCACCAGCACACAGCGCCCGCGGAGCATCATTGCAAGGATTCATTTCTACCAGGAGAAAGAGATGCTGCTCCGACTGAGTCGACAAAATCAACTTGTGTACAACGGTGCACGGATCTTCATCTACCCGGATTACACAGCGGATGTCATGACACAAAGACGAGGCTTTCGAGACGTAATGCAAGCGCTACGGGAAAAAGAGGTGACATTTATTCTGCGCTTTCCTGCTAGACTCCAAGTGAACTACGAAGACCAGGTAAAAGTTTTCAACTCTCCTGCAGAAGCTGTGGCTTTTATAGACCGACTGCAGAAGTGATGCCTGGAGATAGCGTGTATTACATGGCTTGCAAAGGATGAAGGCAGAGCCAGATTTATGATTATGATTTTGATTAATTCACCGGAGGGGGCGTGTCGCTTTGTTTACATCTCGCTGCTGGGTTCAACCCCGCAGCGAACGCGGGACACTAACGTGGGCCCTGCGCCTCTGACTGACTTACAGCGAATGGGTCGTTCTGGGCTGATGGGCACGACCTGGGACCTAGACAACATCAAGACCTTTCGTACTTTCTGGTAGAGGGTGGGGGGTATGGGGGTGTGTATGTGTGTTATTGTACGTGTGAATGGTTGTGAGTGTGTGTCTGAATATGTGCGCGGCGAGAGGTGTCTGCAATCTAGAGCTATGTCATCGTATATCTATTATCTCATGTACGATTCGTTCTTCATCATATACCCATGTCAATGCATAATACATTTAATTTAGTAACATGGAATGTAAGGGGATTGGGGAATAGATTTAAAACTGGAAAAGTCTTATCACACTTAAAATCATTAAATGCAGACATCGTATTCCTGCAAGAAACCCATCTTAGTAAGGACACAGAACATAAACTGCAGACCAACTGGCTATCACAGGTCTACCATGCACCGTTCAATACCCAATCACGGGGTGTAGCCATTTTATTCAAAAAAAATCTGCCCTTTATACTTACATCTAAAGTTATCGATCCAAATGGCAGATTCATACTGTTATCTGGACAAATATCATCTTACCCTGTGACATTGCTAAATATCTATGGTCCTAATTCAGATAATCCAAACTTTTTTAAGAATGTCTTTGAGCTACTTCCAGATGACACATCCAATATATACATTGCTGGTGACTTCAACTGCTATCTTGATCACACGTTAGATAGATCATCATCTAAACCGCCAGCGATCACTAAAGCAGTCAAAATACTAAACAACCTCATGAAGTCTAGGGGTATTATAGATGTATGGAGAACAAAGTATCCAAACCAAAAAGAATTTTCATTTTATTCTCCTGTGCACAACTCCTACACGAGAATTGATTATATACTAGCGGAGTCAAAATCCCTTTCTAATGTCTGTAACCCTCAATATCATAGTAGAACTATTTCAGATCACAGCCCAGTTAGCTTACAGATACACATTAATCTTCAGAAAACTAAGAAGAAATGGAGATATAATCCACAACTTTTTACATCCTCAGGATTCAAAGAATACATGACTAAAAAGATTCAGGATTTTCTTGAGATAAATGATAATGGAGAAGTTTCAGACTCCACCCTCTGGGAGGCCCTTAAGGCCTCACTGAGAGGATACATAATCTCCTTTGAAAGCTCACAAAGAAGGGAAACAACTAAAAGACAGAAGACTATACAGCAAGAATTAAAATGTGCAGAGGAGAAACATATAAACTCCCTCAAGCAGTCTGATTATAAAAAGATCCTGCAATTGAAATCTGAATACAATCTGATACTTCATGATGAAATAAGCAATCTCCTATCCAAAAATAAACAAAAACATTTTGAAATTGGGGACAAACCGCAAAAGCTCCTATCGAGACAGCTAAAAAGCAACCAATCCAACACCGCTATCCATAAAATTAGCTCAAAAACAGGAGAAATACTCACTGACCCTGGTGAAATTAATACCGTGTTTAGGGACTTCTACTTAGAACTATACTCATCTACTGCAGCACAAACAGCACCCAATGACCTCTCAAAGTTTTTTTCTAAGCTGTCCCTTCCCCAACTAAAGGAAGAGCAGCAGAATGTTTTAGACAGTGTAATCTCTATGGAAGAACTCATGAAACCTTTAAATCTTTCCCACAAAATAAGAGTCCGGGCCCAGATGGATTCGGAGCAGAATTCTACCAAAGCTTCTGCGAAAACTTGGCTCCAGTCTTGCTTAGAATGATTAATGATTCACTATCAAAAAATAAACTCCCTGAATCACAATATGAAGCTCATATTTGTGTGATACCAAAAAAAGGAAAGGATCCATTGGACCCGGCCAACTACAGGCCTATATCTCTGCTTAATGTGGATCATAAAATTCTAACCAAGATTCTAGCCACAAGAGTAAATGAGCAAATCTCCACAATTATACATCCGGACCAGTCTGGCTTCATTCCAGATAGACCATCTTTTGGCAGTGTAAGACGACTGCTAAACTTATTACACTCAGACTGCAAGGACAAAAATAACGCAGCCATTTTAACATTAGATGCTCACAAAGCTTTCGATTCCATCGAGTGGGACTACTTGTTTTATGTTCTAAAAGAGTTTGGATTTGGAGACATTTTCATAAAATGGATAAAAATGATCTACTCTAGCCCAAAATCCTATATCATAACAAATAATGACATTTCTAAATCATTTTCCCTGCATCGAGGAGTCAGACAAGGAGACTGCCTTTCCCCCTTACTATTTAACATTGCTATAGAACCACTCGCTATAGGCATTAGAACTCACCCCCTGATAGAAGCACTCCCGCCGGGGACATCTGATAGCCCCATATCACTTTATGCGGATGATGTTCTCCTCACATTAGGGAATCCAGAAAAAGGAATTCCGCATCTATTAACATATGTAGATTCATTCTCTAAGATTTCAGGGTATAGAGTGAACTGGTCTAAGAGCGAACTAATGTTCATAGGGGACAACAGAATAATTGCTCAATGTCCAATTAAAGTTGTGGATTATTACATTACTTACTTGGGTATAAAAATCTCCAAAGAATATGAGTCATTACTAAAACTGAACTTCTATGAGGGTCTAGAAAAGATTAAAAAATGCATTGAATACTGGAAGACGCTGCCACTCTCAATGATCGGTAAAGTGAATGCTGTTAAAATGGTGTTACTTCCCAAATGTATTTATCTTTTTCAAAATTTGCCAATTATGATCCCAAACGAGTTCTTAAAAAAACTGGATTCTGTGATTTTAGACTTTGTTTGGGGATACAAAAAACACAGGATATCTAAAAAACATCTATACAAAACGACAAAGGAGGGTGGACTCGGTCTTCCAGTGTTCAAAAATTACTACTGGGCAGCAAACATGAAGGCACTGACATATTGGAAAATGGGATTCCCAAACAACGAATTGCTCAAGTCTGCCCCCAAGTGGATACAGTTGGAGCTACTATCTCTTAAGAAACCTTATTCATCATTAAATTCTCTGCTATTCACTAATCCAGTTACCACAATCAAGTCAATAAGCCACAGTATGGTAGTAAGAAATTCAATCAGAATACTAGGTCAAGTAAAAAAATATGCAATATCCCTAATATCTCAGGGTATACACCCTTGTGTCATAACCACGCTTTTATTCCATCGACAATCAACAACTTCTTTTCCAAATGGTACTCCAAGGGAATTAAGTGTATACAGGATATCCACTGGGAGGGCAAACTTGTTTCCTTTAATGATTTGAGAGCAAAGTATAACTTACCCCAATCTAGTTTCTTCCAGTATATGCAGTTAAGACATTTCATAAGGGAATACCTGCCATCTACTGAATCACTGCAGGTAAGCTTTCCAGTGCTAGAAACTTTGAATCTACCGCCTACAAGCAAGAAATTAATCTCAAAATTTTCCAACTGTCTTCTACCAACTACATCAACAGAGGGCATTAAAAAAGCGTGGGAGAGAGAACTGAATTCTACAATAGCAAAACAACAATGGGAAAAATCTCTCTCTCTAATCCATGAATGCTCAATTAACAGCAGACTCAGATTAATTCAATATAAAGTGACTCATCGTTTCTACTACTGCAAGGCTACTCTGCATAAATTTTACCCTGATGTGTCTCCTATGTGTGACAAGTGTAACATAGCTGAAGGGTCACTTCTCCACTCTTTTTGGGAGTGTCCTGTAATACTACAGTTTTGGTAGTATCTTTTACTTTTTTTCTGGAATCTACAGCATAGATCTACTAGTGGACAGAGACATGGCCATCTTCGGACATTCCTCAGAGGTAGACAAGCTCCCCAAACACCTACGGAGTGCGCTACAACTGGGAACAATCGTAGCAAAAAGACTCATTCTTACAGAGTGGAAAAGTCCAAGAGCACCATCCTTCAGAAACTGGCTGAATGAGTTGGTGAACATCATTCACATGGAAAAACATAGATTTAAATCTGCAGGGAGCATACACAAATGGGAGCTCTGCTGGAATCCGCTTTTGAATTACATAAAGTCATAGGACGGTTCGTTTGGACTTTCAACTCCGAGCGAGACCCTCCAAGGAGCTATGAACTGAAAGTAGTTTTCGACCGTGAAAAGCATAATTGAAATGTACATGTTGGTATGATGGCTCATGTGGATGTGGGATAGAGATATAAGCACAGAGACATGTGCATACATCCACAGATGCCCATGTAATAATGCTATACTATATTTGCAAGGGCACTCTCGTCCGTGTGTGTGTGTGTGTGTGTGTGTGAGAGAGTGTGTGTGTGTGGGTGCGCATGAGAGGGTGTAAGTTTGTACCTGTTAGGTATGGTGTGTTGAACATGTTTATCATTTTTTGCTGTTTTCATTTCTTTTTTTTGTGTGAATGTGTGTACGTCTATGTATGTATGTATACTTTTATTTTTGTTTTGTTTTTTATTTTTATTTATGTTTTTTATTTTGTATTTTTATTTTTATTTTATTTTCTTGTATATGAATGCATGTGTATTTCATTATTATTCTTGTTGTTTTTTTTTTTTATTTATTTATTTTATTTTATTTTTTTTATTTTATTCTTTTTCTACTTTCATTGGTGGGTGGGTGTGTGTGTATATACATACATATACAAAACACGTGTGTGTATATACATATTCATAACCCTTTTCTGTTTCTGCATCCTTTACTATTCTTAGGGACTGCCTGGTTTTGTTTTATTTTTTATTTTGTTTTTTCTCTATGTCTGTGTGATTGTAGGGATTATGTTTAAAAATGCAATAAAAAAAATATTGTTCAAACAAAAACCGTGATATGGGCCCTGAAATGATGTCCACCTGTGTCCCAAAAAAGTAAGGGACAGTTTTGTTGAGAAGTACAAGTCAGGGTTAGGTTATAAAAAAATATCCAAATCTTTGATGATCCCCAGGAGCACCATCAAATCTATCATAACCAAATGGAAAGAACATGGCACAACAGCAAACCTGCCAAAGGACGGCCGCCCACCAAAACTCACGGACTGGGCAAGGAGGGCATTAATCAGAGAGGCAGCACAGAGACCTAAGGTAACCCTGGAGAAGCTGCAGAGTTCCACAGCAGAGACTGGAGTATCTGTACACAGGACGACAATAAGCCGTACGTTCCATAGAGTTGGGCTTTATGGCAGAGTGGCCAGAAGAAAGCCATTACTTTCAGAAAAAAACAAAATGGCACGTTTTGAGTTTGCGAAAAGACATGTGGGAGACTCCCGAAATGTATGGAGGAAGGTGCTCTGGTCTGATGAGACTAAAATTGAACTTTTCGGCCATCAAGGAAAACGCTATATCTGGCGCAAACCCAACACATCACATCACCGAAAGAACACCATCCCCACAGTGAAACATGGTGGTGGCAGCATCATGCTGTGGGGATGTTTTTCAGCAGCCGGGACTGGGAAACTGGTCAGAGTTGGATGGTGCTAAAAACAGCAAAACTGGTACCACTCTGTGCGTGATTTGAGGCTAGGACGGACGCATTTTTATTTTCTCATGAAACCTATTCACCTCATATGAAAACCTTATTCATCCAAAACAGCTGAAATCTGTAACAGTTCAAATTCAATCTATTTTTGAGTCCCGGCCCAGAGAGAGAGGGGCTATTGAACATGTGGTAGGGGAAACCGGAGCACCCAGAGTATACCTAGACAGACACAGGGAGAACATGCAAACGTCACTCAGAAAGGCCTCATCTTGAGATTAAATCGAACCCGGGACTTTCAACCTGAGAAACTCAAGCGCTAACAACCGGGTTTTAAGAAGTCATTGCTGCGAAGCATTAACCTGAAAATTAGATTTAGGGACATGTAAAAACGAAAAAAGATCCAGTTGGAAAATGTTCACTGTGAGTGTTATTCAAGATTGATAGATAACTTCAGATGTCAACTCGGATCAGCACGTGACGGGAATTTTCTGCCATCGGAATCTTACGCAATCACTTTAATATCAGCCGACACAGAGACAGACCAGATTCTCAGAAAGAGTCACACCCAAACCATGTATTTCCTGGTTGGTTAAATTGCTGCTGATCGTATGATGCACATTTTGGAATATTTCCTCAACAAACTATTGAGCCATTTACTCAAAACTATATTGAAACTTGATTTTGAAACTGTTTTTATTGATACATTTCTCAGTGACAATTGTCTATCTTTTACCTTGTTTTACTCATATACTTGTCTGGTGCACACTGGGGACTTTAGCATGTATTTCAATGTGTTTTTTTTTCGGAAAATGCAGTCATGTCCCATTTCTAATTCATCAAAAACTTCTGAAATATCTAATCTTTCAATTGTACCTGTTTGAGACCTGTTTTCTGCAGTGAGAAAGATCAAACTCAAGTCACCAACATGGTCTGTGGTAAATACAGTGCCTTGCGAAAGTATTCGGCCCCCTTGAACCTTTCAACATTTCAGGCTTCAAACATAAAGACATAAAAATTAAATGTTTTGTCAAGAATCAACAACAAGTGGGACACAATCGTGAAGTGGAACGACATTTATTGGATAATTTAAACTTTTTTAACAAATAAAAAACTGAAAAGTGGGGCGTGCAATATTATTCGGCCCCCTTGCGCTAATACTTTGTAGCGCCACCTTTTGCTGCAATTACAGCTGCAAGTCGCTTGGGGTATGTCTATCAGTTTTGCACATCGAGAGACTGGAGTTCTTTCCCATTCTTCCTTGCAAAACAGCTCGAGCTCAGTGAGGTTGGATGGAGAGCGTTTGTGAACAGCAGTCTTCAGCTCTTTCCACAGATTCTCGATTGGATTCAGGTCTGGACTTTGACTTGGCCATTCTAACACCTGGATACGTCTATTTGTGAACCATTCCATTGTAGATTTGGCTTTATGTTTTGGATCATTGTCTTGTTGGAAGATAAATATCCGTCCCAGTCTCAGGTCTTTTGCAGACTCCAACAGGTTTTCTTCCAGAATGGTCCTGTATTTGGGTCCATCCATCTTCCCATCAATTTTAGCCATCTTCCCTGTCGCTGCTGAAGAAAAGCAGTCCCAAAGCATGATGCTGCCACCACCATGTTTGACAGTGGGGATGGTGTGTTCAGGGTGATGAGCTGTGTTGCTTTTACGCCAAACATATCGTTTTGCATTGTGGCCAAAAAGTTCGATTTTGGTTTCATCTGACCAGAGCACCTTCTTCCACATGTTTGGTGTGTCTCCCAAGTGGCTTGTGGCAAACTTTAAACAAGACTTTTTATGGATATCTTTGAGAAATGGCTTTCTTCTTGCCACTCTTCCATAAAAGCCAGATTTGTGCAGTGCACGACTGATTGTTGTCCTATGGACAGACTCTCCCACCTCAGCTGTAGTTATCTGCAGTTCATCCAGAGTGATCATGGGCCTCTTGGTTGCATCTCTGGTCAGTCTTCCCCTTGTTTGAGATGAAAGTTTGGAGGGACGGCCGGGTCTTGGTAGATTTGCAGTGGTGTGATACTCCTTCCATTTCTATATAATTGCTTGCAGAGTGCTTCTTGAGATGTTTAAAGCTTGGGAAATCTTTTTGTATCCAAATCCGGCTTTAAACTTCTCCACAACAGTATCTCGGACATGCCTGGTGTGTTCCTTTGTCTTCATGGTTCTCTCTGCGCTTTAAATAGAACCCTGAGACTATCAAAGAGCAGGTGCATTTATACGGAGACTTGATTACACACAGGAGCATTCTATTTATCATCATCAGTCATTTAGGACAACATTGGATCATTCAAAGATCCTCACTGAACTTCTGGACTGAGTTTGCTGCACTGAAAGTAAAGGGGCCCCACTTTTCTGTTTTTTATTTGTTAAAAAAGTTGAAATTATCCAATAAATTTCGTTCCACCTAACGATTGTGTCCCACTTGTTGTTGATTCATGACAAAAAAATGTCATCTGCTGATGACTGCTCTACAGAAACACTAGTGTAGCTCCTGATCATAGCTCTACAGAGACACTAGTGTAGCTCCTGATGACAGGTCTAGAGACACTAGTGTAGCTCCTGGTCATAGCTCTACAGAGACACTAGTGTAGCTCCTGATGACATTTCCGGTGACACAAGTGTAGTTCCTGATCCTGGCTCTACAAAGACACTAGTGTAGCTCCTGATCACAGCTTTAAAAACAGACCAACACATGTGTAAATCCTGATGACAGCTCTAAAGACACACCGACACTAGTTTAGCTCCTGATGACCACTCTTCCTGGTGCAGGAGCTAGCTAAACACTCTACTCTCGCAGACTGCACAATGGATCGAAAGCTCACACACAGGTCTCGTGTCTCAACATCCATAAATGATTGTGTGTTTGCAGTTTTTGACGTCTGGATGGAAGAGAAAGGGCCGCTGTGAATGCTAATGTGTGTAAACAGCGTCAGCCCGCCTGCTGCACCATGTGAGCCGTGTGGAAACATTTAGCAGTAATTAGCATCAGAGCGTCGCAGCGCGTTCAAAATGTGTCAACACTCGCACCGCTAATGTGTGGATTCAATATGCTAAGTAAAGCCGTCTGAGCGACAATGGCTCCTGTCGAAACAGATCACTCGCCTTTCAGCTAAAAAAGTAAAAAAATATATTATATGTACAGTATGTAGCTTTCAGAGTGTTTGGATTGGCTTTCAAACTCGTTGGTGCTGCCCCGTATTGCAAGCACAATATATTTGTTGTACATCTTTGGTCTATCTGTTTTTCTCTTGTTGGTCTCTCTCTCTGGTCACTCTCCTTTGTCCCTCTGTTCTCTTTCTTTGGTCTTTCTCTGGTCTCAGTCAGGTTTCTCTCCGGCCTCTCTCTGGCCTCTCTCTCTGGTCTTTTTCGGGTCCCTCTCTGGCCTCTCTCTCTGGTCTCTCTCTCTGGGCCGTAGACAACCAGTTGTCTAGAGCAGGAGATACTCCAGGTGCAGCTAATTTTGGGCCAAACAAAATGTAGGTGCTATAGTACAAGCTTCATGTGCCTCACCAGAAGGTTTGAATTAACTTTGGTTCCATAAACACAGTGAAATGTCCACATTGTTTCGCACAATTGTAAAGAACTGTGTTTATTTTCTACACACAAATAAATATTCACTGACGTCCCGCGGCACACAGAGGATCTCCTCCTGCGTTCACATGTTGAATACTGAATAACTTTTACTGCACGTTTGTACTGCACACAGCAGCAGGGTATCAGTTCTTATTATACTGTCATTACTGCACCTGTGAAGATTCCAGTAAAGGAAAAAAAACTGAGCCGGTGACGGGAACTCAATTACTTTTGTTTCCTGTAATACTGTAAAAAGTTAGTAATGTGACTGAGCAGGTTCTGTGGCTGAGCAGGTTCTGTGACTGAGCAGGTTCTGTGTCTAGGGACTTTTATGTTGGAGAGATATAAAAGAGGTGTCTGAAGTGACAGAAAACAGATCCAGAGACGCAGGACCTGGGCGCACGGTAAGAACACAATACAATGCAACTTTTTCCGTTGTTTTTCTGATGTGTGTTTATACTTTTCCTCTTCTTTATTTTTTTCAGAATCACAAATCTCCAAAGGTAATTTGATATGATTTATAAAGCAGGTTTTTTTCTTTCTTCTGCTGTCAGACTGTACAACAAAGACTATTAAACACTGCCGACCTGACTTCACATGTTGTGCATCCGTGCAATCATTTGAATAATATGCAATATAGAACCACATGTGTCTACTGTAAAGGCCTGCGTGTACTCGGGCGTCATTGTGTGCGTTGGCTTTTACGCTGGACCCGCGGTTGTTTAAGCAGCCACAGTTTACTCGAGCACTCCTCCAAGCTTAGTTTTGAAGAGAATGTTGGAATCCCACACCCCAACCACATGACGGCGACACCAAAGTGGTCCCATTATAAGGTCCTGTTGGCTTCTTCCTCCTCCTCAGAACAAAATCAACGGTGAACCAAGCTGTTTGAGCTCATTAAATGTTCATATGACAGTTCCGTATACTCAGTTTCATAACTCATTTCAACTGTGAGGCTGTGAATAAAGTCACAGTTTTTGTTTAAATAACTGAGGCGAATCTATTTAGTGCAGGATGAATGCAGCAAGGTGCAGACGCGATGACTCTGTACAAGTGCAGATTCAAACAACCGCAAGACCACAAGAGTTTTTTGCGGTCTTGCGGTGATCCTTGCATTGGTCATGCGACATCAGGTGTCGGCGTCGAGAAGATTAATATATACAGTATATATATTAATCTCAGGTAGGACCACTAACAAACCATGTATTTTTATCCACACAGATGAAGTTCCTTGTTTGCCTTGTGATGCTGATCTGTAATGCATTGGCCATTTCAGGTACCATCCAAACTATCATAGTGAATTTCAAATGAGTGTTTTGAAAACTACAGCTATCCGATTTCTCATTCTTTTCAGATTTGTCGGGGAAAATGTTCGTTTTTCCTGTAGAAACTGACACTGATCACGTCAAGATTACGCCTTCTCAAAGTAGCCTTCATGCTCTGACCGTCTGCCACCGGTCAGTGCTGTAGCTACAAACGTCTTTACATTCCGCAAAAACTTACCCAAAACATCTCCCGGTGCTATGTTATGGTGACATACAGTAATAGCCATAGAACTGCCACAGTGCCAAGTAATGCAACCAAATAAATATATATTCACCTTGCCTTGTTTTCCATTTACAGATCCTTCACGGACCTCACTCGATCCCATACTATGTTCTCAATGGCCACACCATCTAATGCCAACGCCTTTATCACCTTAATACGAAGAGTATTAAACCTCATGTCTCTGGTGGCAGGCCCTATACCAACGTCGACTATGCTCCAAACAAGTGGCACTCCATTTGCACGACCTGGAACTCGAGCTCTGGTTTGTTACAGTTGTGGTTGAACGGGCAGCCACTGACCAAGAAATACATCAACCAATCTCCCATCAATGGAAATTTGATCGTTGTTTTGGGACAGGTAAAGTATTTTTTCTTTGTTTCTCCAGTCGGATAATATTTATTACAACCCCATGCCTTCAATCAAATGTGCCAATGTCAGATATTTGGTATTCAAACCCAAAAACTCTTTGCTCCATGTACCACTAGATGTAAGTGTTTTGCCCATCCTGTCCATTTCTATTTCCAATACGGTTCCATCTTCCATACAGAGTAGTGCTTTTGCTTTCCGGCAAGAATATCTTGGGTCTATGTTTAAGTGTTTAACCCTTGTATTATGTTGGAAAAAAATGACATTGATTATGTTGCGGGTCATTTTGACCCGTACTGTGTAAATGCACTCAAAACAGTCAAGAAAACAGGTTAAACCAATAACAACTTTATTTTAGGTTATATAAATATTTAGAAAAGTGACATACAACACATTTTTAATTCCAACACTATATTTAAGAATTATTTAGTCTAATCTTCTTGTCCTCCTCTCGGGTCAAAATGACAATTCTTCCCTCCTTCTTTCCTCCTGCCATGCTTTCTCCTTCCTTTTTCTCATCCTGTTTTCCTTCTCTCTGTTCATCCTTCTATATTCCCTTATTTTCTCTTCCTTCCTTCTTGTCTCCCTTCTTTCCTTCCTACCTTCCTTTCTTCCTCCCTTCCTCTTCTTTGACCAAATATTCGTCCTCTGAATCCTCCTTATCGTAGGAAAATTGACAATCTGGATCAGCAATAACATTGTCCTCTGTCTCTGAAAAATCCTCTGTTTTTGAAATCTCTTCCTCTACATCATTATCCCAGTTAAAAATCTGTGAACAGTCGATCTCCGGATTCAGTCAGTTGCCCGTGTTCTACTTTTCGGCAACTAGTTTTACTCAGATCCGGAGATATCACCCGATGTGCGCGCTCCAACAACATGTGTGTATTGCGCGGCCTCTACAGTTTATGTCAGAAAACACACTGTAGGTGTTGCTGTCGATGTACGCGCTGTTATTCCCGAGACTGGCCTGCTACTAAGAGTTGCCCGTTTTCGCCACATTGTCGATGTGTGCGGGGCAGCAACTCAAAGGCAACGGATATAATCAGTTGCCAGTCCAATGTACGCTAGGCAAAAGAGATGACATGAGAACAGTGACAAGGACAAGTGTGAGAAAGTTCCCTCTCTTCACACACCTGGCTCTGGGTCTTGGAGGCAATCAAAATACAATGTCAAAGAGACATGTTTTTTTGGATCTGAACAACTATTTACCCACATTAAAGCGTCTGGGTCAAAATGACCCGCAACATCATCTTTGTATACAAACTCTGCACAGACATTCCACTACACATCAAAGTGTCCAGATTTTACACACCAGTTCATGACCCTAGATGAGGAAAAGTCACCAAATTTCAGCAAGAAAAATAAAGGATAACCAGTACTTTGATCAACACAAAAACTGAAATGGGTCAAATTGACCCTTAACATAATACAAGGGTTAAGAAACAAAATGGGCACCAATATCCTTTTTACAACAATCATGTTAACTTACTTATTGCCCCTCGGTATGTAGAGCAGCAACAACGTCTCTCCATCCTTGTTCGTTATTAGCCTGTGTCTGGATCATGCCCCATGTCAGATTTGGTTCCATCATCTCGGCTCCCACCATGAGCCTCCAGGTGGATCTAGGGGCTGTTTTTTGTGATGTCCTCAGTGTCTTTTTTAAGGACATGCCGCAAACCAGTTTCATTGTCTCCTCATTATTATGACTGTGACTTGTTGTGAGTCTAGTCTTGCTCTTGTCTTGGCCTGGATGTGGTCTGGTTTTGATATAGGTCTGACCTTGGTCTTGGTTTGGTCTGCATCTGGTTTTGGTCTGGATCTGGACTTGATTTGTGTTTGATCTTGGTCTGGGTCCAGTCTCTGTCTGGGACTGGTCTGGGCCTAGGTATGGTCCAGTTTTGGTCAGTTCTTAAAGGGCCTGTTCTTGGTCTGAGCCTGTTCTTGTTTTGGATCTGTCTGGTCTTGGATTGGGTAGGGTCTTGGGTTGACCTAGGTTTGTTCTGGTCTTAGCCGGGCCATGGCCATGGACCTGGTCCGGGTCCGGTTCTTGGTCTGAGTCTGGGTGTGGTCTTCACCTGGGTAGGTTCTGGGGTTGGTCTGACCTTGGTCTTGGTCCAGTCTTGGTTTGGTCTGGGTCTGGTCTTAGTCTTATAGACATGCATCCATAATATCTGTTCTTTATTTGTTGTGCCCAGGAGCAGGACTCTGAATAACCAGCTCTACCGTCCAGGGAACGTGGTCAACTGGAAAACTCTGGACTTCAAAATCATCAGGAATGTGCAGATCGAAGACAAGCAAACCTGCTGTAACAATTAGGAATCCATATTTTTATAATATTAGATTCAACCATATTATTCTCATATCTGCTTCTTAAGTTCTTCACACTGGCTTCACACTGTTTTTGAATATTGTCATCACTTCTAGACACCTTTTTGAAAAATAGTTAAACGACAGCTTATATGTACTGACCCAGAAGATGTCAAACTTTGGTACAGTTTTTGTTTCATGAGGATCGGCCGAGGAATTACAGAGAATTTAGCACTAAACCAGAGGACCTAAATCAGATGTTAGACATTTATTAGTTACAAGGAAAGATTTTTCAGCAGCCCTCCATCACACTTTGAACAGTGATGTTACCTATTACAAGATAAGAATGATAGAATATTTTGATGCCAGTGTGAAAGGGGCTTCTACTCTTGTTCAAATTTGGGTAATGTTATGAATAGGGAAGAGGTTGATGCATTGTTGGAGATTGTCACTGAAACATGCTGTGAACAGCCTGAAGTCAATGTTTCTTTGACTTTTGATTGTGATAAGCTTGTTCAGGATGTGTGTATTTTCTTTGGAGTTCTGGGTGTGTGTGTGTCTGGAAGATTAAATAAAAGATTTCACTTAAAAAAAAAAAAAAAAAATACATGCCTATTTACTTGTTCTTAGTAACTTGCCCCACACTGGTGCTGACTGCAGTGAAAAATGGTCAAAGCACAATAAATGCTGAACAAGAGCTGAAACTCAAATGTTTATGGACTAATACGGACTCTTTAAAATGGCTGTCATTTTGAAGTTTGGTACCGATTCGATGGTCAGCTTTTTGCCTGAGATTTGAAAATACAATCCTAACACACACGTCTTTACGGCTGAGTGTTAATTTTCAAGTGTTTCGTTCATAATTTTGGGTTAAAGTTTGTGATAGTTAGTGTACATCTGTCCTCAGCACTTTCCAATATATCTTGTCTGGACTTGGCCTAGCTATGGTCTAGTTTTGGGCCTAGTCTTCGTCTGGGTATGATCATGTCTTGGCCTGGGAATGGTCTTTTTTTGGTTTGATCTAGTCTAGGTCTGGGCCTGGGTCTGGTTTTGATTTAAAACAAAAACAATAGCATCTTCTGTTCTCTATCAGTCCACTCGAAATGTATTGTCTATGGTGAAAGACTTAAATCTTCCTAAAATGACTTTGCTTTAAATGAATTACTTTAAATTACAATGCGAGTAATCTACTTTTAAAGCTGTATTCTAGTCCATTTTAAGTGGACTACTTTTCCTTGTGTTGAACAATCGGACAGACCTACAGAATGGCTTGACCCCTAAATTCAGAGACAGACATTGGTATTGTTTGTCTGAGTTCACCATTGGGACAACACACACACACTCACATTTACACATTTACACACAGACACACACACACACACACACACACACACACACACACACACACACACACACACACACACACACACACACACACACACACACACACATGCACATTTGCAAAGAAAAACCAAACAAACTAAAGCTGAGTCCCACGTCTTTCGCAGTGCTACTCTCCGCAGAGCAAACCCTGCGTGCCGATTATTTACATATGTATATATACTTGTGTCGGCCGTGAAACTGAAATCCCGTGAATATTGCTTTGTGATGCTGTCTCCCGCTGGTTCTCACTCTCTGAAGACAAAAGCATCCGCCACGTCCCAGCGGTGCTACAGCTACAGGCAGCGATCAGTCTGCAGATCCATCAGCCTCTTGTCACACACACACAGGCACGAAGCATTATTCTCCACTGAAGACGCCACTTGGATGAATTTAGGAACAATACTACAACAAATGAAAGGAAAATCCAGTTATGTTTCAGTCCTCAATGCGCACTGCCAGGATTTAGGGTCGGCTTGCATATTTGTCAGGGGTATAGGTCCTGCAATCACTGTTATTACTAGTATAGTTTTATGACATCTTTAAATCACACTCATAAAAGGTAGAAATAAATAGACAACATACAATATTTACAATATTCTGTATAGAAACAACTCTGTAAATGTGTGTATTTTGACTTCTTTAATTTTGGCAGAGAAAAGAGGAAGGGCCACGTTTTTTCCAACCTTCGTTTGGAAAATACTTTTGACGTTGAGCATAGACTGTATATAGGACAATAAGGAAGTGCTCGTGGACAAAGTTTTACTCCTCGCTCTGGCTCCTGTTGACTTACATTGAAAAGTAAAATCTCCCTCAGTAACTGTGTCACACTCACCATTTTCGGATGAAAAAATCTGTGGTTTTGCAATCTCTTTCATCTTTGGCTAAATAATGTGATATTTTCTTTTCAAATCCAGACACACTGTATGAGCCCCATAAAACACTCTTCTCTGGTGGAAAAGCAAACTGAATCAGATCCAGTCCAGGAACAGGACCTTCTAAATAGGGTTTGAAATGATATAAAAATAATTATAATGATGCATCGGTTTTATTTAGAACTTTTCTGGACACTCACTCAATACACAGTGGTTTTAAACGACTACTGTAGCCACAGCTGCCCTGGGACACACTGACTAAAGCAAGGCAACCAGTCTGTGCCATTGACCCTCCCACCACCACCAACCATTCACACACAAACCAGACTCATTCTAATGTGAAGTGACACAGTGACAGTTTGGCAATCTACAGCCGCCCCACTGTGGCCCCTGGTGTTCCCAGGGGTCTCCCATCACAGTACTAACCAGGCCCTGCCCTGCACATGGAAAGAAATCAACCGAGAAAGACAGGGTTCATCAAATTGATTATTCCATGTTATTATTGCACATCTTGGAAAAGAGACATCCAGTTGCTGTGGCCGAGAGGTTATGGCGATGGACTTGACATCCATTGTGTTCTTGTGTTCTTGTTTGCATGGTTCCTGAGCTCTGGTAGCTTGGAAAAGGGATGGAACTCAGAGACACACTGCATGAGGTACTGGGTTAAATCTGCAGATTCATCCAACATTTGTCATGGTTCAGATTATTTTTTAAATGTTGTCGGTTAATCTTTAGTTCACTAAGCTTGAATTACTTTAAAACCTTGGTATAAGGGGCATGTAGCTCAATGAGAGAGTGCATGCTTTGCTTGTATGAGGTCCCTGGGTTCAATCCCCTGCATCTCTATGTGTTTTTAATTAGTCCATGTTATTATTGCACATTTTTTTGGATAACCAACTGTAAAAAATACACATCTTAATGGGTTGTAGCTCAGTGTTAGAGCACATGTTGTTTCTTTGGCTACTTAGATTTTCCTAAATTTACACCAGCGTTAGTAGTGATTTATCTGTGAAGCAAAGATTTTGGCAGTGGTAAAGAGACTGGAGACTGGAGCCTAGATCCAGTGCCTTAGATCTTCTACATTTAGTTTTGAAAGCAGATAAACAGAGAATATATATTAGGGTCACAATGCACATATAAAGAAAGCAACCGTGAAAGAAAGGGAACATTTGAATTTTAGTTAAAGGCAGAACTCCTCACATTTCAAAAGTAAAAGTTATTTTCATTAAAAAAATGACGGTTACTTTTCATATGCAAATTTCTTTCTTATGCAACACAATAGATTGAATGTAAGGAATCAGATTTAATATTTGAATCAATTGGCAGCACTGATCTGACCTCAGGGCTGCTTCCCCGCTGCCTCCCAGAGCGTTTACTGCAGAAGTGTGTGGATCTACAGTGTATCAAAAGTGACCCATGAGCCCCAGGACTCTCAGACGGATCCATAGGCCGAGGTCAGGCTCCGCTGCTGCAGCCTCTAAACGCCTGGCTCTAGTGGAGCTCATAGATTGCATTTGTTGTACGTCCTTGGGCCAAAACCGCTTCATCCACCTGTGGAATAGTCGGCTTTATTTTCTCCAAAACTTTACTTTCTCTCAGAGTGATCGTCCTTCATCACAGATTCTAAACTGCAGGTGCTGAGACAAAACATGATTGATTGAATTTCCCAGTTCTATTCTGTGTTCTCTGCTTTGTGACCTCTGTATAACTTTTTTTTTATATATAATTACGTGCAAAGACTGTGCAGCTGTTTTGAATAAAGTGCTTTCTAATTAACGATATATTTATTTCAACTTTGAGAAACTCAAACAGACAAAAGAGGGTTAATATAATTGTATTGATTGGTTGGCAAATAATCTGGCACTACATACATTACCACAGAAGACTCATATGCAGACCTTATGACTGACTGAATGTATCGCATGCTGTATTTGTCATGTGGTGATGGGGAGGAGGGGGGTTGCTGCACGAATGAAAGCTTGTACATGCATACTTTCTCCAGTCTCTGTTAGCTTTAGTTCGTGTCACAGTCACCATTTTAAGCTTAAAAATCAAAGTTAAAAGTTATCTTTATTGTGCCACAAGGGTAAATTGGTTCTTACATCAAGCAATCATCTAAAACAGACTCAGTAATATCATGAAGACAAGAGCAAGAGAGGATGTTACAAAGCTAGTTTCAGTGAAAATGTGCTGTGAAGTGCAATAGATTGTATGAGGTGCTATGTGCCTTTAAGGTGCTTCCCAGATGATGATGAAATGTAGTTCCCAGCCTTTTTGTCCTGCAGTCAGGGGCCTATAGCACCTTTCTGAGGGTAGAAGTTCAAACTGCACTTTCAGGGGGTGGACCAAGGAACCCATGATGGAAGTGGACTAAAAAATGATATTTTTTATCCTGTTTGTATTTGGACATTCTCTCAACCAGGAGCCTTCTGTTGCCAAATTTGGATTTAGCAGCGACTAGCTAATGGGCGCTTGGCAACATTAAGGCTAAAGCTATGGTGATGTCAACCTTGGTCAGCCCGCTCCATCTATGGCTCCATCCTTCCCTCAAGGTGAAGTAGACCTGAGATAATTTAGCACAATTGTGTTGCAGATCTGTGGTGACTTTGAATCTACAAATTAAGTGATTCTCGGAGAAACCAGAAATGTGA